GGGTGATTGGCGGATTTTGAGGAAGGTACGTGGACTATGCTTGTTGACTTGAACCGACAACGAATAAAAACTGAAACACAATGGAAAATGAGACTATGCATGTGAAGATATCCTTTGCTATGACAAACATAATTTACCTCAGTGCACAGCCACGTGATTAAAAGAATACGTTTCGCAACTTACACACCCTCTAGTTTCATGTTATTGCAGTTTCGTGTTTATTAATCTTGATTTTGTCTTATTTTGTATGGTAAAGTTTCTTTTCTCCAACCTGCTCACCGTGTTTTCTTTAACTGTTGTTATCAGGGTGGCTTACTTGTACAGTGTAATCTCGACCTTTCAAATCTCCGTTTTTTGAACCACCCAGTTTTATGAAGCAGTTCTTTGGTCAGGGACAAAAAGATTATACGAGGAATTTGCCGTCAATTTTTCGAACACGCGGTGTTTGGAACCAATTTCCGTTTCTCAGGCTGATTCGAAAATACGAAAAGTTCAAATAATCAAAAGCAAATTTCTTCTAACGTTTAAGGAGAAATGAACATCTTAATAAAATAATTTCTTCTGCAATTTAAACTAAATTGTGTGTTGTAATCATTCACGGTTGGTGAAATCTACTTCAAATATTACTGAGCTAAATTTTTACTCTAATGCGGTTGACAGAATGGCACAAACACACAATTAAAGCATGGGATAGAAAGTCACACAACCATGAGATAGAAAGTCACGCAACCAGGGGAAAAAGTCACACAGGCATGGAATAGAAAAAGAGGATTAGGGGTAAAAGAATCAGATCCCCATGCCTATAGGTCTTAGACATGGCACCCAGTTCTCGGGCGGATAATGTTTCCACGCGCATTACGTAGATACTTTCGTAGGGGACAAAATCTGTAATGACTCTTCTGAAGGCTTTTCACTTGAGCTAACTCCTCGTCACGTTCTTTCTAGATCTTCCTGGGATTCCCTGAGAGTGATCTAAAAATATATTGAGAGGCTAGCGCTCACCTTGGAAATAAGCTCCAATACATGGAGGGCTAACTATTTATCCATTTATCCAATCTCGAGGATAGCCTGCACTGGCACAAGCAAATTGCAAAGATTTTACCAGGTACTGTGTCAATAAAAGAAAATGACTATTCTCGTTTCTCTTTAATTTGCTATGCTTTTAAAGTCCACTGAAACGAACTCAGTCGAAATTGAAACGTAAAAATATGACACTTGCCTGCGCAATTGCTAAAACTGACCTTGATAGCATTTCGTTTCGATTTGGACTTCTTATAACACGGAGGTTACCGTCGTAACTCTAATACCTGACGGAGATTGCCGTGGATAAAATAATTCAGACTTGTCCTTGGACGGTAAGCACAGAATCACAGTAATTTCAACCTCAGTTTTAGTAGCTTTTAGTCTTAAGTAGGTTGACAAAAGGTGTGAATTGTCTTCCGAAACTTATTTTGCAAAACAATAGTTTCATATGGCCTAAAATTGCGTGTTGGATCATATAAAATTTCAGAAGGTTTCTGCCTTTCTTCTTGATTTATACACGAATGAACTCGCCATGTTAAAAGCCTCTGGTACCTTAATTAAAGTAGGCACAAAGGATTTTACTGAGTAGACTCTAGCTAATCTTCCATTTTCGATTTTAGTTGTACATTGTTTAACGTTAGAACATTGGTAAAGAACCCAGGATTAAACTGGTCTCGATCGATTTTCCGTTATGTCACAGACAAGGTTCCTGTTTTGAAGAGCGCTGAGTGACTTTGCGTTTTTCCTTTCTTCAGTAAAAGATTTTGATGAAATACAAATAGTATAAATCACGTTTCACTGCGAATTAATATTTTTATCTGATAAAGTAAATGGCATGTCATTTTTTTTAAATAATAAAAACTTTCTAGGCTCGATTAGCACTGAGCCGCTGTTTCGGGGAAAAAGCTCGCGCTCTGAACTCCTGAAAATGGGAGGAACGCGACAGGACCCGAGAAGAAAAGCGGAAACGAACCTAAATACTCGTAAAAATTGAGTAATCGTACAACAACGTGTAATATTGACGAATCGGGAAAATGACTTCTTTTCTTATCACTACTTGAGATATACTGTAGGCCAAATAGCTTGAAATGGCTTATTACAGAGACTCGGGGAATGTGAGGCATTAGTTCTTTCAAGACTACATATTTCATTATGATAGTGCATTCAAACGATTATATTAGACTAGTCGGTATTTGGACTAAGTCCTTCTCACAAAAATCAAGAAGCATTTCTTAGTAAAAGCTGGTAACAAGAGTTTTCTGAAGTAATCTGACGCGCTGAAAACGAAAATGCTTGTTACCAAAGTTCATTTTGTGATCTTCAGTCTGAAAATGACGTCACAAAATTAGCATTTAAAATGACGTCATCGCAATGATAAATGTGTAGAAAAGGGGAAAACACTGAATTAAATGTCACAAATTTGGATTTTCTAGAGCCAGTTCAGTTACAAGATGTTACATACTTCGTATTTTGAGGAATGTAAGACTTGCATGTCTCGTGGGCCAATGTATGACGTCATTTATGTTTTCATAATATTCTCTCACACAGAGAAAGACGTTTTTTTCAACTGGCCGAATTAAAACAGAAAAGTGTTTCATATGCACTGTTACTTCGGTTTCAATGGGGCTTTTTTTCAATGAAGTTGATGGCTACGCATTTGAATGTGAAAACAGAAACGCGTTCACGGTCGCGCTTCCCTAATTTCGCTCTCACTGTCTGAGTCCAGTCCAGTGATAAGTAAGCCTGGTTACTCAGCTTCGTTGTTTAGTATGCCATCGCTCGATTTTTGGCAAGTAGAAAGCAATTCTAAAGCTGTGAAATGTTGGAATGGATCCAGTTGTGACCCTAAAGAGAACTTCGAAGTTGATTTGAAGCTGTGCATCTTCTGTCAGAAGCGTAATGAGCCAAAGGACGATGTAAGAGAAGCTACATGTTACAGCAAAAATTTTGTTTACGAAGCGACGACTAAACAAAGAAAGTACGGGGACGTAGCAAACAGAGCGGTTATCGATCGTCTGGTTGATTTACTTGGAAGAAATGACGATACTTGTATTTTTTTACGTTTGGAAACCATATGAAAGGATCAGGCTTGGTCGAAGAATGGGTCGAGAGTGGACTGCTCGGGCCAAATGCAACCGAGCATGTCATGAACGGAAAAGCCTACAAGAAAGCTATGCGTGCCCACAAGATTACTCTGCAGTCATTGTGCCAGCTGCTGATGCCTTTTCTGTTAGAATTCTGCCAGAAATCGTACCCAGATCTCTTCTAAGAAGTATCTGCTCTTGCTTGCTCTTCCGAAAATGTTGCAGCACTGATAACATCCCTGAAGTCACCATGAGTGAAAAAGATGCTCAACGAATTCGTCACACAAAGATCCGAGGAAAATGTCAACTTCAAGTTTTGGTGGAACTACATGGAAATGGTATCTGTTCTCCTCATGTTCACTCGGGCTCAAAGAGAGGGGATATGGGACCTGTACTTGCACAATTTCCGCCACATGTTGCCATATTTTTTTCAGATATGACCATCTGAATTATGAAGATGGGGATCAGTGTACATTGCAGAGATGGAGCAGTTGCCAAAGGAAGTCTTAAAAGAGTTCAAAAAGGGGAACCTCGTTGTCAAATGGAATGAAAACAAGTTCAACCAGGTCAGTCCCGATCACAGCCTTGAATGGCTGAATGGGATAGGGAAAAGAAGTGGAGGAATCGTCGGGCATAACCAAGACGTCATCAGCATTGAATGGCTGGACGGGATAGGGAAAAGAGGTGGAGGAATCGTGGGCATAACCAAGAAGTCATCAGCATTGAGTAGGTGGGCTCTGTCCTATAACCTAAGGTCACAGATAGCTGAAAATACACACACGATGTTTAGATTGCACTAAGAAGACAAGTTTTCTCACAATGAATCTACTTCTGGAAGGAAATATGGTGACAAGAAGGATCAATGTTCATTGCTTACCATTCTCAAGCACTTCAAGGTATTTTCACCACCAGAACATCCAACCTGTCTTTAGAACATTGCCACTAAAAATCTTGTCACTGATGAAATGCAAGTCTCGCTGTTAAATACCAAAGAGCTTGGTCGGCAACAAATGAAAGAATTCGCGGAGCAAAGGTTGCCAAGCGTCTCTCAACAGCAGCAAGATAGACCATCAGAAGTGAGATTCTGGGACACGATGCACAACAATAACGCTCCAACTATTGACAACTTGTATCATGTTGTAAAGAGCAGCAAAGAGAAGAACAAAACCACAATTTTAAGAGCCGACCGAAATGTCCTTCAACGCCTTATCATTGCTTATGAAGCGGGACTCAAAGTTGATCTCCACAGTGTTCTAAAATATGAGTTGATGCCTGTACCAGTCGCGTTAGCAGACATCAATGACAGTCTCAGAGCTGGGCAGAAATCTGTGTTAGCAGACTTAATTACCAGTGGAATAAATTGCCCAAGTGAAATAGAGCTTCAAAGCAGCTTAGGTCTATTGATAGATGGTCTGGCATTAGTTTCTGCAATTGGGAGACCATCTGGTGCTCAAACGTTTGGGGACTTTGAAGAGAGCTTTCAAGCAGCAGTTCTCCAAGCTAGAACCCGCTATCAACAAATCCACGTCATTTGATCGGTATCAAGAAGATTCCATCAAGTCAGGAACGAGAGAAAGACGCACAAAGCTCACTCGCCCTATCCTGCTATTGAAGATGGCAGTGTCCCTCTCCCTCACAGTCGGCCAAACTTCTTGCATTGCCAGATAACAAGTCGGGTCTAGCCAGGTTTCTATCGGAATATATCATTGTGAACACACCCCCAGACAAAGTTGTTGTAGCTGCTGGAGGATTTGTAGATGAAAGGGAAGTGCAATCATCAGAAAGAGCAATCGACCTGTCTGCTCTAAGGGCAACCCACGAGGAAGCAGATACACGTCTGATGGTTAACTGCGTRAACAGCAGTCTTGACAACGTAGTTGTATTGGCAAGGGATACGGATGTCTTGTTGCTTCTTATCGCACATGTCCCCCACATCCCTTGTCCTAACCTGTACATGATGTCTGGAACAGCCACAAAGCGAAAGTACTTTAACATCAGGGCTATCTACGAAAATCTCTCAGCTGGTTCTGTATCCGCTCTTCCGCCTTTTCATGCCTTAACGAGTTGCGGCACAACGTCCTTCATATGCAACCATTTAAAGAAATCAGCTTGGAAAGTATTCCTAAAGCACCACACACTTCTTTCCTCTCTAAGAGATGGAGAGCTAACCGAAGAAAAGATGAAAGAAGTCGAGAAATTTGTTTGTAAAATGTACAGATTGGATAGCATATGTTGTTCTCGAAGAAAGGAAAGCCAGAGGCGCTGCCACCGACAAGTGATGCTTTATCACTACATGTAAAGCGTGTTTACTATCAGGCAATTGTATGGAAACCAGCTCACTACTCAGAGTCTCATCTTCCAGATCCTTAAACATTAGGGTGGAAGAAGATCGCTGATAACAAACTTCAACCACTCCTAATGACACAAGATCCGATTCCGAAAGCCTGCCAGGAAATAATCTCATGCTCATGCTTTACTGGATGTACAAGTCTCCGCAGCAGTTGCAAGAAGGCTAAATTGTTTTGTACCAGTGTCTGTGGGTGCAAATCGAACAATGTCAATATACATTCCTGTAAAAACACCGACACCAAATGAACTCAGTGATGTATTTAACTATAGAGCATGATGTGCGTACCTTTATTGACAACAAAGTCATCAAGTTAAGGTTTGAAAAATAACCCTTTGGAATGAATTTTTCCGATATTTATCCGCAACAGAAGGCATAGTCTTTAAATTGGTTTGTGAAGCAAAAACACACGCATTATCATTTACTTTAACGCAAGTGCATAAATGATTATTTACTCATAGGAAAACTTCTAAGTAATATGCTTGTATTTTAGAACAAAATGAAACCATCCTACTCGGTGAGGGTATACGTATAGATTAACAAGGATCTGCAGGAAGTTTCAGTTATTGGCCGCTGGTTTAATTGTTTATCCACAATTGAACAACTAATAAAGCCAGCAGAGCGTAAGGTGTGTTTTCATTCAGTGCTCAAATTTTGTGACCTTTTGGGCAGGAATTAACAATTAAGTAAATATATGGCTAAATGTGACGTCATTAATGACGTCACATGTTGCTTTCAATGTATTCTGCAATGTAATCGAACTAATTTAACTGGAATTAGGCGGGAGGCAAGTTATGTGGTATTCTGAAGTGCAAATATAAAGCAGACGGCTTAGTATATAACTTATATTGCAAAGTTAATACCACGATCACGTCATTTTCAATGTCATTTTTGTGACGTCATTTTGAGGCTGAAGATGGCAAAAAAAATTGTGGTAACAAGCATTTTCGTTTTCAGCACGTCAAATTACTTTAAAAAATTCCTGTTACCAATTTTTACTAAGAAATGCCTCATAACTTTCAAATTCTGTGAAAGTCGTCTAGTCTATATTCGAAATCGAAGACTAGCATTATGATTTCTGAGTAAAACTATATCTTTCCGGGCTTTCGACCGTCTGTTTGTCTTGTTTTGTTGGGCTAGGGTTAGGGTTAGCGAAGCAGTTGCAAAAATACGCCAATAACTTCAACCGTTATGATTAGTTAAATAAATCACATTTTAACAGAAAGGGCAACACAGAAATAGCTAATATCATTACACTCGTTCAGGTTTTTGTTTTTCAGTCACTTAAGAAAGTATAAACAGAAGAGAATGTTAATTAGTTTTCTCCTTTATTTTCGTCTTATTGTTAAAGAAGTGCCTGACATGAACAGCACAGACGAGGTTATACAAGTCATCTCAATCGGCCTCATTGTTGCAAGTTTCCTTCTTTACACCGGCCGAGTTCCAAAAGCCATCAAATTATGCAAGGAATGCTTTTACCTACTGACAAACACAGGCGCAAAAGACGAGAACTTAACCAGATTTTTTTACAAGGTGATTTATTCGAAACTGTTGCAGGCGCACTCTCTTATAAAAGATTACACAAACGTGATAAAATACGCCACAAACCTCGTTCGCATTCACCACGAATGCGGTGAAAGACAAAAAGAATGTTGGCTAAGTATAACACTAGCGGAAATGCACCTCAGTGGTGGAAAATACGCAGAAGCGAAAGAACTCTGTGAGAAAGCACTCCATATCAGTACAGCAGTGTGTCAAAGAAACTTAGATCTATATTGTTACGAAATCCTAGGGAAGGTGTATCAATTAACTGGTGAGTACGAGAAGGCAAGAGAAAATCACGAGAAGGCGCTAGCGATTCAAAAAGAAAATGGAAACAGAAATGGCGAGGCCAGTTGTTACGGAAACCTTGGGATTGTGTTTCAGTCAATTGGCAAATATAAAAAGGCTCGAGAATATCACGAGAAAGCACTGGTGATCAATAAAGACACCGGTGAGAGAGATAAAGAAGCCTTCTGCTACAGTAATCTTGGAGCTGTGTATCAATCAGTTGGCGAATATGAGAAGGCTAGAGAACATCTCGAGAAATCGCTGGCGATTAACAAAGAAATTGGTAACAGAAACGGAGAAGCCGCCTGTTGCGGTAACCTTGGAACGGTCTATCAATCAGTTGGAGAATATAAGAAAGCGAGAGAACACTTCGAGAAAACACTTGCGATAAACAAAGAAATTGGTGACAGACATGGAGAAACCTACTGCTATGGAAACCTTGGGAATGTGTATAAGGCAATTGGCGAAATTGAGAAGGCTAAAGAACACTATCGGAAATCACTTGCAATTAGTAAAGAAATTGGTGACAGAGATGGAGAAGCCTCATCTTGGATAAACCTCGGAGTTGTGTTTTACTCAGTTGGTGAGTACGGGAAAGCCAGAGAATATCACGAGAAAGCACTTTCAATAAATGAAGAAATTGGAAACAAAAAGTTAGAAGCGTCATCTTATGGAAACCTTGCGTTGGTGTTTCAATCATATGGTGACTTTGAGAAGGCTAGAGAATATCACGAGAAAGCATTGGTAATACAGAAGGAAATTTGTGATAAAAGTGGAGAAGCCTCGTCTTTGGGAAACCTTGGAATTCTGTTTGAATCAGTCGGAGAAAACGAGAAAGCTATGGTATATTACGAAAAGGCGCTGGTAATCAACAAAGGAATTGGAAACCAAAATGGCGAGGCCACTTGTTGCGAAAACTTAGGAACTCTGTTTCATTCTTTAGGGAAATATGCCAAGACTAACGAATACCTTCAGAAAGCACTTAAGATCAGGAAGAAAATTGGAGACAGACGAGGAGAAGCATCAATATATGGCAATTTGGGAGTCCTTTTTCTTTTTCTTGGTGATTATGCCAAGGCTAAAGATTATCACGAGAAAGCGCTTGCGATCAGAAAAGTTATTTGCGACAGGAACGGAGAAGCACTAGATTGCCAAAACCTAGGAATTGTGTTTCAGTTCCTCAAGGACTATGAAAAGGCGGAAGAATATCTTGAAAAGGGTCTCTCAGTAAGTCAAGAGATTGGACACGTCGTGAAACAGTTTTCTTTGCTTTGCAAAATTGCATGGGTTAAAGTTTTGAAAGGAAACACTGAAGGTGCTGTGTCGTATCTACTCTCAGGCGTTCAAAAATGTGAAGATTTGCGTGGTTTTCTCCGCGACAACGATCAATTTAAGATATCCTTTACAGATCAATATGCTTCCGCCTATTGGTTACTCAGTGCACTCTTTCACGCCTCCGGAAATTTCAAGGAAGCTCTGTATGTTTCAGAGCTTGGGCGGGCCAGAGCCCTGGCAGACTTAATGTCAGCTCAGTACTCTATAGAAAATCAATTGCAAATTTCTGCTAATCCCCAGACATGGGTTGGAATTGAAAGCATAATGGACAAAGAACCAAATTCTACGTGTCTATATGTCTCTTATTCTTGCGACAGTGTAACTGTCTGGATTCTGAAGGCAAGCGGAGTCGTGCTTTCAAGAAGAAAACATTATGAAGATGGAATGGATAATTTACAGAGAAGAATAGTTAAAAATCTGAATGACTTCTTTGTAAACGAGAGTTTTAGATCTTTTTTCATTTTACCTGAGGAACATTGCGAAGACCGATCTCTGGACAGTTTTCAAAGAAAACCAAAGCCACGTGAAGAAGGTCGCCACGACGTTTTGCGTTTTGGAGAAGATGGCAAAGGTAGACTAGGACCGAACGTGAATCTTTCTCTATGCTACAAATTGATCATTGCACCAGTGGTGGACTTGCTTGAGACCCCTGAAATCATCATTGTTCCTGAACGGTCTTTGTACAACATTCCATTTGCAGCATTAACTGATGAAAGTGGCAAGTGTTTAGCAGAGAATTTCAGAATCCGCATCGCTCCCTCTCTGACTATTCTCAAGCTCATTCAAGATAGTCCAGCAGAGCACCACTGTCAGACGGGTGCATTGATAGTGGGAAATCCTGATGTTGGTCAGGTGCATTTCAAGGGGCGCCTTACGGATATAACGCGATTGCCTTGTGCAGAAACCGAGGCGAGGATGGTGGGAAGAAAGTTGGGTGTCGAGCCTCTGTTGGGACAGCAAGCGACTAAGAAGGCAGTACTTGAAGCGATGAATTCAGTGGCCCTGATTCATATCGCTGCACACGGTGACGCAGAAAGAGGAGAAATTGCCCTTGCACCATCTTTTCGTATTCCTAACGGGATACCTCAAGAAGGACTCTACTTATTGACTATGACTGACATTGCAAAAGCTCAACTGCGAGCTAAACTGGTAGTCCTTAGCTGTTGCCACAGTGCTCGTGGACTGACAAAAGCTGAGGGGGCTGTTGGAATTGCCCGAGCATTCTTAGGATCTGGAGCGCGCTCAGTGTTGGTGGCACTGTGGGCCCTGGAAGACAAAACAACAGAGCAGTTAATGAGTCATTTCTACGATCACCTTGTTGCTGGGGAAAGCGCTGGTAAATCTCTACACGAGGCCATGAAGTGGCTGAGAAGTGAGGGCTGTGACGTGAACCAGTGGGCACCTTTTATACTGATTGGAGATGACGTGACATTTGATTTTGGAAGGAAAGGTAAGATTGAATGGAAACAAATGGTTTCAAGTTATTTCTAGCAAAGGGCTACTAGTATTAACTGGCAGTTTCCCTCGCATTCTGTCCATCAGGCTGAATGTATTAAAAAAAGGTTAGGTTTCTATATCTAATTGTTTTTCTTAACATTTGCCGTTTGATCTTATGCAACTGATGTATTTTACGACTGATAGCCAGTTAGGTCTTTCGTGAAATTATGTAACGTATAATTCAACGCAAATTTTGAACCAAAAATTGTTCTTAATTATTGCCAGAGTCTATGACCAGTTTTACGTGAAAATCTACCACGGAGATAAGAAAAATGCCAATTTTGGCGTCTTCATTTTGACTAAAGTTGGTAATAGTACTTTATTGCGTGGTCATTATTTTGTGTACGACTCGCCAATCGATTTATGCCTTGCTAATTCTCCAATATATTTCAATGTTATTGCAAAAGACAAATGGACAACGTTTTCCATATACTGCACCCTCTTGAACAACATTGGGACGACCATGTGCCAAAAAGAGCAAAATACTCACGTTTTCAGCTGTAGTTTCTATGATATGTGACGTTTTTTCCTGTGGGTTATTTGACCAATCCGCAATTGGGCCCTATTATGTTATAAATTCCGAGGGAAATTCTAGAGGGTTAGAAATTTACGAAAGAAAGCGCAACAGGCGGGTGCCTCTCGCATATCTGTGAGTGCTCCCAACTTACCGTAGCGTTTTATGACGGTATAATCCATGACTTTAGCCTATTTACTATTATAATAAAGTTTCCGTATAACCCGCGCTCTGATTGGCTGAAAGAGCGTGCTTTATCAGAGAACAGAGCACGGGTTGATGACGGTAAGTTGGCTTTCAAATTTTTGCTTTGGAATTTTGACAAATTTGCCCCAAATTAAACATCCCCTGTGATTCAGACAAACGCAGTGGAAACGAGCTATTTGTTTGTAGTAAATATGGCTCACAGAGACCATTGTTAGCAACAGTAGTGTTAAAACTGTTCTAAAATAACAAGTTAATTTGCTAGATTCCCGCCGACAAAACACGTAACGAAATAAACAAATTCTCAACCTAAAACAGTGCTTCGATAAAAGACATTATGTTTGTTACGAAGGCAGAAATTATACTTAAGAAGTAAAACTACGACAGAAAACAACAATTGAACTGTTTCTGTTTATGATGAGAAGCTTTATTTTTGTGAAAATGCTCAATTGCTCAAACAACACTTACATGCAGTGTAGTAACGCTCGTTCTCCGGTGATCTCAGCGAAGTGAACCGACGAGAGGTCAGTGCAAAGCTTGCTCTGATATTCTCCTCTGTGCTCGGAGTAGAACCAGTAGGAGCCGTTTAGTCTTTCTAACTTTTACGCTAGTTCGGGCAATCTTGCTGCATGCGGCTACAAGCCGTAAATAACTGTAGCTCCTTTCAAATTNAACAGTGCTTCGATAAAAGACATTATATTTGTTACGAAGGCAGAAATTATACTTAAGAAGTAAAACAACGGCATAAAACAACAAATGAACTGTCTCAGTTTACGATGAGAAGCTTTATTTTTGTAAAAATACTCAATTGCTCAAACAACACTTACATGTAGTGTAGTAACGCTCGTTCTCCGGTCATCTCAGCGCAGTGAACCGACGAGTGGTCAGTGCAAAGCTTACTCTGATATTCTCTTCTGTGCTCGGAGTAGAACAAGTGGGAGCCGTTTAGTCTTTCTAACTTTTACGCTAGTTCGGGCAATCTTGCTGCATGCGGCTACAAGCCGTAAATAACTGTAGCTCCTTTCAAATTCTACTCGACATTTTGCATTTTCATCCGCAAGCTTTGAGCTCCGCGTTTCGTAATTTCCACTGGAAAAGTGCACGTTTTCATGGGCCACAATACGACCGGATTCCTCTGGACTATAAACCTTCACCTGCCTTAAGCCCCCCGTATTTAAAATTTAACTTAAAAGCGAACTTCGAAGGCATCGTTCTTCTCTCGAAAGCCGCTCGAACTACTCGAAACTGAAAGCTT